TTGTGCTTTCCATGATCATGACTTCCTGTTCTTCCTTAGTAACTCAGTATTGTAATCCATTGCTTTGGTATATGATGCTCTATATGCCATATCAACATCCCGTATGTACTTCATTCATAGTAACCCCTTCATGATACAAAACTATGTGCATACCCGTACAGTAACCTAGCTGGTCCCAGCCCAGCCATCCTTTCTCGTGGATTATCCCCCCAACTCCTGCCATGAGTGGATGGATGCACCATTACCATATCATGTGGAACACCCCACCTTCCACGATACAGAATATGATATCTAATGCAGACAGATGTAGAAGAAATAACATAAAAAAGAAACCTCAAGTCTTCAACGACTCCTCCAACCGATCCAAAAGATAGTTCTCAGACTGGGTCGAAGCAGCAGGTGACGGTGAACGATCACTTGCATCACCGTCACCTAAAGTATTACTGACCATTTCATTTAGATCAAGTCCGGATGGTATGGCAGTGCCACCCGGTGTTGAGTCCGAAGAAGGCGATGATGGGGAGGGAGGAGGAAATGAGGAAGGGTCTGTATGTGGTGTGCCGGTATTCGTTTCATCGACAGTAGAAGAAACGGCGGCGGCGGCCACTGGGATAGATGTAGGAGGTGGTTGTTGTTGCTTTTTCGCTTTAGCGGCAAGACGATCTTCTTGCTTCTGAATCTGGCGGGCCCTGGCTTTCTCGGCGGTCTTTTCGCGCTTGCGGGCTTTGCGGCGTTGTTTGCGTGCTTCGGCTATTTCAGCTGGTGTGAGGGGGACGTCGTTGGGTTTGGGTTGGGGTTGTTGTTGGGTGGTTTCGGGTTGTTGTTGGGCTTCGGCGTCGTCTTGGAGCTTGATATCGAGACACAGGTTGCCAGTTTTGGGGATCGAGTTGTACCATTTGTGGAGGACTTGGCTGACGTCTTCGTGTAAGGATAGCTCCTCGAGCATTTGCAGAACCTTTGTTAATGTGGCCGCGTCTTCTGCGCCGGAGTGTCCGTCGAAGGTGGGGATTTCGAGGAGATTGCTTGGTTCGCTGCTTGCTTTGAGGCGGGTGTCGTCGATTAAGATGGTGTTGGTTTGGTCCCAGCGGGTCTTTTGGAAGGTTCCAGGAACGGATGAGCCCAGGCTTTCGGGGCTGGGGTATGATGCTTGGACCTTTTCGTCAGCCCAGACGGTACTGAGGGTTTTGTAGACCTGGATTTTGGCATCGTATTGCTGTGGTGTGAGGTTGAAGTGTTCGCGGTGCCATTCGGCGACGATTTGCGTCCGGCTGTCATTGATGAAGAGTTGGCGGCAGATGCCATCGACGGTGGGGGGACGGGCACTCGACCATATCATGACCTTGTAATTCTGCATCAATGTCTGTATGAAGATGTCTAGTCCCGCTCTTCGCTTGAATCGAGGCGGCATGTACCGGTCAGGCCGATGAACGAGCGTACCGTTCAAGTCCAAGATGACTAGTAGAGGTTGTTTCCAGGAATTCCGTTTGGCTGGTTTTGATGACTGCTCAAGGTAGGCCGGTGTTGGAAGAGCTCTTTTAGGTGGTGTCGGAGACTCGAACTTCTTGGAACGAGGGCGAGGACTAGCGCGTGCCTTGGATGAAGACCCCGGGCGTGGCGATGGAACCTGACTGGTCATGTTGCGGGTATTGACTCCAGCAGAGCCAGCTGCTTGGAAGGTCATGGGCCCGAATGGCGGCATTGTCATCAACGGATTCGTTGGCGCAAAGTTCATAAAGGCAGGCGGAAACATGGGAGGTAATCCACCAGGGAACGCACTCATGTCATTCAACGGAGGGAAGCCGAAAGAAGGATTAGTAGGCTCACCCAAAGGAGCTTGAGGAAGCTGTTGCTGTTGCTCCAATGGGAGCTGCCAGAAAGGCTGCTGAAACCCTGGGAAGGTCTCGTTTGGCGCAGCCATGCCATTCTGGAAGGGGAGAAACATGGGTGCCAAATTGAAGTTGTCAAATGTCCCAAAGCTGTTCTGGGATGGATGACCTGGTGCATAGGACGCTGCATTGGCAGACTGTGATGCCTGTGGTTGCATCTCTTCCCGAATGTTCTTTTCGGCTAATTGTTTGCTCCGTCGTGGTAGCTTTTGCCGCGGGCGAGCAGATGGGGGAGCATTTCCCGGAGCCGTCGTGCCGGAATCTGTGGCATTGCGCTTGGTATTCCTCGTTTTCTGACGAGCCCAGCGGTCTTTATACGGTCTCCAGGCAGGCTTATCATCCCCCACCACGGAAGAAGTGGAACCATCATGACAAACGCGACTGTCCATACTGGAGGCGTCGAACGCCGATGCGTTTGTTGACTCCATGTAGGGCTCAACGGACTGATTGTTGCGGACAGAGAACTGGGGTGGATTCGAGGAATTATGATAGCATATGTAGAAGGTGACAGGAGTATGATGCGTGCTGATTGTTCCCAGAGCAATCTATCCAATGGTGTTAGCAATACACATATTCATATGTTCGGACCAAAAGTGCACACCTTGGAGGACACCCCACTATGAAACTTGCGATCAGGAGAGGGGGCTATCGGGGCGGGGCGGGGCTTTATAGCAATCGGAGGCAAACGAGGGAATAGGCAGCATTGGCGTACTCGCAACATGAATGGAAGATTCCTGGAAGATGAGCGACCGAATTAGGAATCCGCCGCGACACAGGAGGGAGAGTGAAGAGGATGAGAGCAGCCAACGATAAAAGAAAGATAGAAGATATGCGGAGGCAGAAAAAGTGACTTACTTATCGGGGGATCTGGCCAATCAAGGTGGAGACGCCCTGATCGCCGCCTTTCAGGAACGGCAGAACGGCCTCATCTTTTTTTTCGGCCGCCGATCTCACCGCCCGGCCAGCTTGGGTTTTCATCTCACCTTGCATGAACTAAATACGGTTATACATCTCCCATCCAAGAACTGCGAAATGGCTATTTCAGACCTATTGAATCGCCGCGTGCGAGCTGTCGCTCAGGATGACGAGGAGCTCTATTCTGACCAGTCTGGATCGGAGCAGGCTAGCGACGATCTCCGCTCTGACGAGTCGAGCTCAGAGAGTGGCAGTGATGGTTCCCTAGACGAGGACGACGAAGACGATATGGTTGGTTTCCTATTCTTTGGATAGACGTCGCAGCATGCTGACTATTTCGCAGTCTCAGGGCGGCCCGGAAGATATGGATGATGACGAGGACGACGACGAAGATGACGAAGACGACAGCGACGATCCCCAAGACGACGTTCAAGCCTCACTAAGCAGCATTTCATTCGGCGCATTGGCGAAAGCACAAGCATCCATAGGCCCCAAATCGAAGCGGTCATCCAAGGCCTCCAAGACAGAAGAGGACCCTGCCGCTCCTTCCCCCTTAGATGACATTCGGGCGCGGATTCAAGAGGCGCGCGAACAGAAACGTCAAGCGCTGTCGAAAATAAAGGACTCTGAAAAGCATTCCCGTTCCTCCAAACATGCGCCGGCCGTACAATCCTCCAAACATGCCGTCTCCCGCAAGCGGACAATCATTGAGCCGCCGAGTGTGCCCAAGTCGCGAGACCCCCGTTTTGATCCGACTGTATTGAGCCAGGGTGGTCGCGGAAACCCTCAGGCAGCGAGTAACGCATACGCATTCTTGGACGAGTATCGCCGGGATGAGCTGAGGCAGTTGAAGGAACAATATGCCAAGACAAAGAACCAGGAACAGAAAGAAGCGCTGAAGCGTACGATTCGGTCGACTCAAGACCGTCTTCGAGCGATGGAGAACAGGAAACGCGAGAAGGAGGTCTTAGCGGAGCATAAGAAGAAGGAGAAGCAGCTCATCCGTGAAGGAAAGAAGAGCAACCCGTACTTCTTGAAGAAGTCGGACCTGAAGAAGCAGGTGTTGCTCAAGAAGTACGAGAATATGAACTCCAAGGACCGCACCAAGGCACTCGAAAGGAAGCGCAAGAAGACTGCAGCCAAGGAGAGAAAGGAGATGCCCATGGAGCGGAGAGCATTGGCTGGCGACGATGCGCCGAGTGGCGGTGGAGGTGGTGGTGGCTGGAAACGCCGCCGAGTTGCATAGATGCTGGAGCTTGTCTGATTCTGATGTCTGGCTCATCATATTGTATATAGTTCATAACTGCATAGGCATATATTCTCTACAAAATTTTTTCAGGATAAGACTTCCACGCCGACAGTCTGGGAGTGTTTATATAGACACCCTATTACTTATCATTATCCAAAACCGACCCATTCCTTCCAGGCGTAGTTGCAGCTTAGTCAGAGTAAAAAAAAAGCAAAATGAAGAACATATTATCACTGCCAGATGGCGAACAACCAACATCCAATAACTATTGCTGTACCAAGATAATCAGACGCGCAAGCACAAACAAACAATCAAATGGTATCGCAACAAGCCATAAGTCAATGACGCAAGGATCACCGAAATCTGAGGTCCTCGAAACAATATAGACATGATTCTTCGAAGAACATGATCTTTAAACCCATAACAAAATAACGCCTCATGTCCAGAACAAAGCAAGTTCCCCCGGACTTCGGAGAAAAAGAGCAATAAAAGAGAAGAGATTGAATAATGATCGAATAGAAATAGACACTGGAATCAATGGCAAACAATGAAGGCGTCTGGCCTAACATGGTATAAGATGCAAAATGAGTAAAAGGGATGAGATTGAAGGGACGGGATCCACCCTTCCGTTCTTTTCAAAGAGCGACTGTTCATGCGGTTCATATAGGTAGTCGTGTAGTTTGGCATATGCATCATGTCGAGAATAAATATTATTCTTCAGACACACTCCCCTTCACACGTAAAATCTGCTGTTTTTGTGGGCCCGCAGTTCAGCCGTGGATAATTGCTCCCAAATAAGCAACCTCTGCTGGGTCGTGCCTATCCATAATTTCTCAAGTACTGACCACACCGAATAGCGCATGAGGGAAGATTGGCGATATGTGAGAGTGCATTCATAGCGACGGGCCAAATCAGATCGCGTAGGGAGACCCTAAGCAATTGGTCATGGATTAAGAATGGAATAGGTCCCAGGCACGTGCGCAGAGACTAAGGAATTCTTCCTTCTTTCTGCGCTGGGTCTCGGGCGAGTCTCTCCCAGCCCCAAATGGGCCATAGGTGGCACTTGCATCAGAGGCCAAGGCTGGGTTAGGGCGATAATGTGGGTCAGGGCCGTGGCCCAAGGGCGGGCTGCCGTGCTCATGTTCGTACTCGTTTCTCGAGCGGCGCCGAGCAGTACCCTCGGACGGGTACAATGACGGCTGCGGGGGGTGCGCGTTCGCCATGGGCGTAGCATCCGAGTGAGGCACTCCAGACTTTGGTGGTCCGTTAGCCACACGTGGAGATGGTGGAGTCGGGGGTTGGTGGCCGCCGTAATGTACAATGCGCGGCAGAAGCTCCTCGCGCCCACCTGACAGTTCCTGGACAGCTTCCTCGGCAGAACGGTACTCCCTGGGACGCTTGGGTGGTTGAGCGGCATCCCGGGAGATGCGAGGAGAGGGAATTGGGGGAAGATTGTTCGATTGAGGCGGGTTTGCAGCTGTCGCGCTGGGGTAATATAGTCCCCGGTTTGCCTCGCGATCGCGGCCCAACGCCTCATTTCCAAAGACGTCAGAGAGCGGGGGCAAGCGGTTGGTTGTTTGCGTAGCAGGGAGGTGATGGATGTGAGATGTGGACCCCAAAGTCGGGCTTTGGTTAACAACATGACGGGTTAAGGGCTGCGCTTCGTTACGGCCCGTGAAGGTCTGATTCAATGGCGCAGATTGGATGACACGTTCACTGGCAAATTGGGCTGCGGAAGGAGGCACGATGGAGAGGCCAGGCGGGGGTCTTCTCTTCGAGGCACCGACCCGGGGGAGGCCGAATGATTCAGATGGCTTGATTCCATCGGGCCCGTCATCCTTGGCGGACTTCTGTAAACGCGATTCGATTATTGAGCGCTGCTGATCCCGAACCGATAAGCTCCGTTGCAGCTGCTCCCTCATCACAGGGTCATGTGTTTGAAATCCCGGGGACAGGCAAGCGATCCCGACCTCTTGCATATTGACACCCTCTCTCGCAGTCATAGGGCCGCCAGGAGGCCGTGCGGACAAGCCCCCCGAGGTCGGAAGGCTACTGGAAAGGTCTAATCTGCGAGGGCGAGGTCTAGTATGAGACTGCATTGCCGGGGAGGACGGAGGTTCCTTTTTCACGATAACTCGACTCGCAGTGGATCCGGCCTGTGATCTGCTGGAAAGGTCAACAATCTGCATCGGCGATTCAGCCAGCGACTGTCGGGTAAGATACTTACGAAGGTGAGGTCGGTTTCTTTCCTGCAGGCGAGCTTTTGGCCGACGACACATCCCGAGAGACACCGGATGGGCGCGGCGGCGTGGTACTCGTCTGGTTACCTGAGGATGCAGGCGCCAGTGTTGGGCAATTTTTCGGACTGATATCGCGGGTCATACGCGGAGACGTGAGCGGAGCAGCCTGGGCAGGCGCAACCGCGGTCGACATAATGACAACGAAGGGTGACGAATTCGACAGGACACAAAGGAGCGGGAAACTCCTTGGCGAAAGCACACAGCTGACCAGGGGAAGCAGTCGAATCAAAGGGACGGTGCAGCCGTCAAACCGATATAGGCTGGCGAAAGAGAAAAAGAAAAGAGAAAAATTCCCCCTCGGGAGCTGTCTCACACAGCCACCGACTATATAACGTGTTCCTGTACGGTGCTAAGAACTGTGCCACCCAACGTCTCACAGCCTGGAGCAGGTGGAGTATCAAGCTTTCTCTAACAAGCGCTGGAATTATGGGGTGGTAGGGCGAGACCGGATGAAAGCGCGCGCGGATTTGAGAGCTCGGTAGCGGAGGCGGCTAATATTGGTCTTCGGGGGGAGGCGAGGTCGAGGTTGAGCTCTGGAATGGGGGCGGAAGCAGCTTTCGAAAGGCCGACGGATCCAGCCCGAACAATGGGAAAGGCACGGAGGACGGAGGGGGAGAAGGAGGAAGAGATCAACGTTCAATGTGGCACCCCAGGCAAAAGTCGTCAAACAGGTGGTGGGAGGTGACAACGACGGGGAGTGGTCAGATACTTGAGGGAGGCGGTTAGCTAAGGCTGGCCGGCGGCAGTGTGACAACGGTTAGAGGTCGGTCAGGCCGGGGGGGTGTGGTGATCCAGAGCGACAAAGCGATAGTGTGTGGTGGAAGCGGATCTCGACAGGTCTGGCCCCCATGCGAGGTAGGTAAATGGCCCGAGAAGAAGGAGGGGAAGGATGGAAGGAGGGGGGATATCACGATGATGCTGATATAATAACGAATTTCAAGGAAGAAAGGAGGAAGAAAAATAAATGGGAAGCTAACAAGAAGTAGAGAGAAGAAAAGAACAGGTAGAGAGAGAGGGAAAAGTAGAAAAAGCAAAAATAACAGTAAAAGGCAAAACTGAGGAAGAGGGGAAGAGGAAGAGGAAGGAAGAAGAAAGGAAGAAAAGAAGGCTGAGAAGACCAGACCCGAGCGAGGGAGGATAAATTGTATGGATGATGGAGAAGAAGCAGAAGGTGGACTAACTAGTAAGTAAGGCAGGTATTAGTTGGGAGGGCGGTATGGGGCAAAGTTGTCTGGTATGGAAGCGGGATGGATGGATCGGGGAGGGCGAAGGGAAATCCAACAGGTCGATTCAATCTCGATGAGACGGTGGCAGAAGAGGGTTGGCACTAGTAGCCAGAACGATGAAAGGGCTATCAGTTGGACCGTGCCATTCAATCCGAACACGCGGCAGGGTTGGAGCCAGGAAATTATGATTGATAATAAGCGAAATAAAATAAAGGGAAAAAGGGAAAAAAGAAATGAGAAACACGGAAAAATAGAAGAGAGAAAGAGAGAAACCTAAAACCCAGGACCGAGAACAGGCGAGAAACGAGCAGGAGAAATAATCATCATCAAACGGGGGAGTGGGAATTAATTGGGCTGCAATGGAGGCAACCAAGACCTTGAATGAATGGATGTGGGGAAGAAGACGAGACTTGGACTTACTTTACTAGAATTATCATGATAATAATAATAAAAGTAAAAAAGAAATTAGAAAAAGAAAAATATGGGAAAGTATTAATTAAATAAATAAAAAAAAGAAGAAGAAAATAATGGATACGATATCAAGAACCAGAAGAGATCCTGGTCGCTAGGAGCATTAGGGACTCTTAGTTCGAAACCACTGAAGGAGAAAAGAAAAAAAGAGCATGCAACAAGCAGGTTAAAAGAATACCTACTAATCTACGGAGTACCTGAAAAAGGAAGGTGAACATCTAAATGATCTCTCCTAATGCGAATATAATATAACAACGAAAAAATAATAAGAAGAATAATAAGAATAATAATGAAGGATTATCTTGTGTACAAAAGCACAAGACAGACAGACAGACAAGAAGGAAAAAATAGAAAACCGGACTGGGATCCATCCCAATAATCTCCTGAAAATGCTCAGACCAAGTGGAGCAGGATTCCCACTTGATTGGCACCAGCTGAGACATGGTTTGTTTCCGCCCAGGGCTTGTCCGCCGATGATGTGACACTTTTGTGACAATTGGCGGTTGCTGCTGATCGCCTCGGGTTCACATCGGTTGGACTGTAGTACCACACACCTCTTTCTTTTTCTCCTACCTACTCTCTTGTGTCTTGTCATCGGGCGGGCGTGATAAGATGACACCTGAGAGTTTTTATCTCACTTTTTCTGGTGTAATGAATTTATCTATAGTCTTCACCCTTGGTGTTTCTAAAACCATACCCTGGCCTACTCTCCCTTATCTCTTTTTTTTTTCTTATCTCTTTTCCCTTCCCTGTCTATTCGTATTCAGGCAATATAGTATCATGTGTTAGGAGGATAGTAGAGGAGGGAGGGGAGAGAGGGGGAGGAAAACAAGAAAGAACAGAAGATTACTTTGAAGAGTCCAGACACGCACCAGACAAAGGTACAACTTAACCAGTTTTAGTTCGTCTCTTGGCCCGACCATCGTGTTCCATCCAACTGAAGACAAGGTAGGGGCTCTTCCCTGCGACCCATCCGGGATCCGGCCTATGGAGATCCAGGAACTGCCGCTGGCCTGTGAGACAGCTGGAACATTTGGGGATTCCCGAGCCAGTCACCTGCTAGGAATTTTGCACTCGTTTTGAGAGTGTAGCAGATGGCTGGCACAAGATGATTCTTCCATGTTAATTCTCGTCGCTACTTTCTTTTGTCTCCTTCTAAATATTATATTCTTGCTCGAGTGAAAGTGGTGAATATGACAGCCTTGTTCTGTAAGTGGAGGGTACAGTAGTGGATGACTGACACACAGCCATCCATCCATCCATCCCGTGCCAACAAACTATCGTGTCGGCGTCCGACGCAGGGTGGATAAAATTGGGGGAAAGGAAAAGAGAGCCTGGTTTGGTTCCTTCCCCCCTGGTGGCGACGCACCTGCGACACCAGCGTCCCTCACCATCCCCGAATCCACCGGCGCCAAACTGGTGGAAACAATAGTCCCTGCCCCGATCCATGAATCCACTCTTCTGTCAGACATAATACTAGTAATCCTGTTAACTCAAACTCACTAACCACAGTTTCGCTTCTCGTTTCCACCCTTCCGACTTGCCCACTTTCTCCCCCCTCTCCTCTCCTCTTAGACTAGTCTGCAGTCAGCAACAGCCTCTCTCTCTATTGGGGGCTTGACAAATTAATCCGAAAAGTTGACATCTCACATTTCCCCACGTTCCTCTCTCTCTCTCTCTTTCTGTCTCAGTCTCTTCTCGCTAGTGTGGAAAGAAGTAGATGAATTCTTGGTATGGCTTCCCTTGCTAACCTTGGTAACTAATGATATGATAAGCAAAAAGAAGAAACAAGGTAGGCAACCAGGTCTTCTACAGATGCCTCGATCGATCATCCCGCGGCACAGTCCGACGACGACGACGACGATGACGATCGGCCCTCGTTCTCGTTGAGAGTGTCGCGTTGTGACATGCCCGAGACGAGCCAACAGTCGCATGAATGGATGAATAATCTCGTCAAATGCTCCAGACCGGGAAGACCAACTGTTCGGGTTGGAGAAATAAGAAAAGGTATAATAATAACGATGATTATTATCATATTACTCTAACAACAGCAGCAGCAACAATAAAACATAACACATAACACATTACATGATAATCAGATCGTCATGTCTGACTATATTATGAACTGCACTCACTCATTTCTGCCCCCAATAAAGAGTAACTAACTTTCTACAATATGAGTAAGACTAAAATGATCCGACACGGGCTTCTTTCTACTATCAACGCAGCCTCTTTCATCAGGGCCGGGATTTCCGCGCCCAGCCGGAGCAATCCACCGGAAATCAGTTGACCTTTCCTCGGTCGCTACTCCCAGATAAGTAGGAGTAACAGCACCCAACTGTAGATACATACTAAGAAGCGTAATAAGGTATGTAGATACTGTATGTAGGGTAGAGAGAGAGAAGTGGATAGAAAAACACCTACTTACCTACTACTTCCTACCTTGCTCACCCGCACACATCCGCCTCGAAAGGTAAAATTCTAGACATGATCGCCCGGCACTGCTTACCTTGCGACATTCTAGGGGCCCGAGCCACCGAACTACTGTAAGGCAGAATTTTTCCCATGCCTTCTATTCGACTTTTCGTGCTCAATTCCGCAGGCCCATTTCAAGCACAGCACATGAACCTGCGAGCGAACTATTGGGAACAATGAAGATCGATTTCTTTCCTAACCTAGCCCGCGCCCCTTCGATCACGGGCTGGGGCGGAAATGGGAATCTCTCTGTCTCTCTCAGAGACGATTAGCTCGCTTCCTGCGACAACACTATTGTCTCAATCAGATTTGCAGTACAGGATGGACAGACAGGGCCCGCGGAGTAATTCTGAACAGTTAGATAATTAGTGAATTAGCTAGCTAGTATTAACCGTACCTTGATAGCCGAGATGCCGTACCGGTGTAACAGTAGCAGCAGCAGCTGTTGGGGATGGTTTTAATCCCAGCCCTCGTGCAACCAAACCCAAGCCTCCGGCCCTTTTTTTGCTCGAGTCAGACAAGCAGCTTGACTCAAACAAGGCCTCAATGCAAAACATGGGACCTGTCAAACTTTTTTTCTGCTGAGTCAAACTTAATTAACTTGCTGTCTTCAAAACAGACCTACTAATCAAGCCAATCAATCAATCATCAACCAGTAGCAAGAAGCAAGCCACATCCATTCTTCTAGGTAGTGATCTAGCCCAATGCGTATACATCGTCCTTCTTAATATCGATTCCCAATACATTCACAAGAGTCAAAACTAACGCGCGGAACCACTTCCCGGCAGCCTGGTGGGTTAGGAAAACAGAGTTCGGTCACTCCTCATGAAGGTTTAGTAAAAGTCAAAGCATGCAGAGGGCTCCATTTTGTATCGACTTCCTGGGATATTAGCATTTCAATCCCTGCTACAGTTGCAGTGCTTATACTTTGCAGGTACTACTACTACACCCTACACAGTACTCCGATCCAATGCGTGGCCTGCTTACACGGCTGGGTGGGATGTGGATCTGACAAATTTATTTGCAGCAGTACTCGCTGATAGCAGATAATATGTATGTATCTATCCTCAACAACTCGTTCCAAGGTACCGATGATGGGAGGGAGTTAACATTATGGATTACTTCCATGGGATTGAACCTACTTACAGACCTTCCTTTTTAAGGCCCCGAAATCATCTGCGGATAAGCCCGTTTGCGAGAACCAATCATTAGGGCCGATCTCTTCTCCCCTCATTTCCCACTCCACGAGGTAAAGTCATATTTTAATATTAAACGGGACCGCCTCATTAACCCGGGGATCAAGACTAGTGAGATCCGGCTTACTACTAGATACTTAGTAGATACTACTAATAAATCACTGGGGAAAAGTGAGTAGTTGGTTTACCAGCTAACTACATAGCTGACAAGCAATGTCTACACTCTTCCGATGAAAGTACATTAAATCTTCATTGTTGCAATGTATTGAAAAACAATACCAGTCTGCACCTTCGCATAACCTCCTCCTCCCCCTCCTCTCTTATTTTTACTTTAACTCGTTAGTCTACTTTGGTATAAGTTCCAAGTTCCAACCTCGGCCTGGCGGGCCCACGTGTGCTCCTTGCAAATAAGATTAAGGAACGGCCTTGCCATCCAGTCTTGATGAACCACTAGTTTATGGGTCCGGCCTTGCCGTCTCCAGAAATTATTGACCTGCTGAAAGTGGTACCATGGATTGTCATATCACCAAGGGTCTACCAACTTAACATGATGTTCATGTTCAACCTGTTGAAATATTTTATTTATTTCCAGGAGGGTCGGTGTATTTGATCGTTGTGGCATTTCTCGGCAAGCTGAGATCCCGAGTATATCTATCATGGACACGGTGTCGATACTACTCTGTATGTATATTGTTTCTCTCCCACCGGAAGAGTACGAGATAGATTATCGCGTGTGGTCACTCGAAACGAGAACCACCCATTGTCTTTTCCGTAGTAGTACTACACACGGGAGTTCCTCTATGTACCCTGCCCTGCCCTGCATATGCGAAATGAGCGTTTATAATTGAACACTACTCCATGTGCAAGGAAGGGATTGTTCGAGGATTAACCGACCCTGTAGGTAAATAGTATACTCCATCTTCAATATACACAGTACAACATCCCGCCGATAGATGTCTCCAACTATGGAGTAGTACGGAGTAAATGGACACTCGGCAAACAAAAATATTTCAATCTCCTAATCAACATTAAATCAAGAACTTCCCGTACGCGCCATCCATGTCGTCACTCATCTATCACGACATCATCCACAACAACCAAGTAGTAACAACCGACTCCGAGTCCGAATCCGAACATAACTTAGTACTTACTATACACTATCAACATACCAATCTATCTACGCACTACCTAAACAACCGAAGCTCCATACCTGCAGTAGCGAACCCAGCTATCTACTCTGCCAAGGCAATAGTTTAATATCCAAGTATGATTACTCCCCGAGATATGAACGGTTGCATCGTCACGTTATCAAACTGTGTGTCATAAACACACGGTCGGTGTTGACAGATTGACAGATTAATTGATTGATTGATTTTAAATTGCCAGATGGCAGTATTAACAATAATAATAATAGTATTATTACTATTAGCACCCCGTGTTAAGCCTTCCTCAAGCCCGGGTCTAGTCTCAACGGCGTTGCCTCTGCACGGCCCCCCTGTTGCTAATATTGGTTCTTCCATGTGGGAAAGAAAAGAGTGGGCGTGCACCATCCCCTTCCCTTCCCCCCCTCTCAGTCTCCCCCAAAGGCAAGCGATATAGCATCTGGTCGATCGCAATAAGCCATTGTCAATAATAGTAGCAATTAAACTAGGAAGTGGTCTATCAGTGTGTGTTTTGCAGGTATGTAGCCTGGTCCCCGGTCGCGTAGATTATTTAGTTTTTTCTTTTTCTTTTACTTTACTTGGCTACTACGGAGGATTAACGTATTACTCCTATGTACTAAACGAACTGAACTATTGATTGGAGAATATTAGGAGCAATTACACCGTATCCCCGATAGTACTACTACTACCACTACTACCACTACTACCACTACTACCACTACTACCACTACTACCACTACTACTACCACTACTACCACTACTACCACTACTACTACTACTACTACTACTACTACTACTACTACTACTTTAGTAGTTGGGGTTCTGTATGTAACAGCGTTGCACTAAAATATTCCCTGGTGCGGACATTAATTGCACTCAACTGCCCCATGGCATACATATTTATAGAATTCAACGATAGCCAGTTGAACCCAGCTCTCCGGAGCATTCTATCTCCTTCGTACCAACACGAACCAAGTCAATAAGACCGAGGTAATAATAATACTACTCATCTCCAGTAAGGATTAGTCAAATAATCGCCTACTCGGTCGGTAACCTGCAGTATCCATCCATCCATCATCCATCCATCCATCCATCCGGGAAAAAAACCCACAGTAGCACCGCACCGGCACTACTCTGTAGCTGCCATGCAAGCAAAGCTCAATTCTGCAAAGACAAAAAAAGAGACAAGCGACGGAGAGAAGAAGAAGAAGAAGAAGAAGAAGAAGAAGAAGAACGGGGGGAAATAAAATTCAGCCACAGTTGCACAAGGGTATGCATAGTGGTAGATCATACCGTGTGCCCGAGGTTTGACACAATCCAGATTGCTATATTCATGCCGATGATTTGAAGTAACCTGGACATTGACTACTACTACTTCGTACCCAGTGTCGCACACGGCCGAGAAGAGCGTTCGTTCATGCAGTGTACGGCGTCTATGTATGTACGTATCCTGTTGCCGTTGAGATATAAGTCATGCAGAGTGCTTGAATAGGATATGCTGTGCGTTAGCTTCTGCTACAGACTAGTTAACTTGCAACTCTATTACAAAAGACAGGTCATTTATGAGTAGCACTCGTCGTTGAAGATGTAGTTTTCAAATAGATCCAATCAAAGGCAAACATACACCGCAGCAGCAGCAGCAGCAGCATACTTTCAAATAATGGCAGGCGGTAAGGATATGCCCTCCTCCTCCTCCGAAGGCGGTGAGATATCGATAAACCGTTTTTCGCATTTTTCTCCTCATGAGTAATTGAGCATCTGGTGATTTGCGAAACTTGACGCATACGACTCATTTGATTTCCTCTTCACTTTTAGCCGGGAATATACTATCCTCTGGACTCTGTTCCTCTAAGATATCCCGCATTCGCGACTTGCGTGTCCCGCGCCACTGAGTACATCTCTCCTCCGCTCTACCCTCAAGAATCACCACTACCCCCTCAGTATACACCTCGAACGAACGACAACATACCAGACACTGCGCTAACCAGATCCGCAGGATCAGTACCTAAAATCTTCAATTAAACTACGATCAAAATGCCCGCCTCCGTCCACTCCGAAGAACAAGACCAGTCCATGCTGGACGCCTCCGCGCCCCAGGAAGAGCAGACCGACATCCTCGAGCTAGACGAGAAGCGCATTGTTGTCGTACGTATTACACTTCATACCACTGATAATTATGAATAATAACTCCAGACCGCATGCTAAATATCTGATGAATGAGATATAGTTGCCCGGCTCGTCCGACACCGCAGCTTCGTTCCAATTCGAGGGAGAGGGTCACACTCTGGGTAATGCGCTGCGATATGCGATTATGAAGAAGTGCGTTACACATTGCATCTACATTTACTGCTGCACCCGCTATGTTGGATCTTGCTAACGGGGGTTGGTGTGGTTTCCTTGGGTACAACAGCCCCGAAGTCGAATTCTGCGGTTACACTATCCCCCATCCTTCGGAGACGAAGATGAATCTTCGCATTCAGACTTATGGTTAGTTTCCCCCCTCCCATAAGGTTGAGATAGAATGAATGAAGCTGACTGCGATTCGACAGAAACAACCACCGCCGTCGAAGCCCTCGAAAAAGGTCTCGACACTTTAATGGACCTCTGTGATGTCGTTACGGATAAGTTCACCACTGCCCGGGATGACTTTAATGCTGCACAGGCGGATCGCATGGAGGCTTAGACATATATTCTTTTTTTTTATACATATTATAGACTTCTGGGTGGTTTTTGGCTTGTGATTTGTATGTGTGTGTGTGTGTATGTTTCATGTCTTGCTATTTGATGGGATTGATGGCGTTGTGTGTGTGTAGAAAAGTTATACCTTTTCCTTCTTTCTTTATTTAACTTTACTTTTCTTTATTCCTTGGGATGTAATTATTGGGTGGGTGGGTAAGATGCAGGGGGTTTTGAGGTGGTGGATGGAGTGAGGGATAGATACTATGGCATCTGCTACTATATGCCCATAGAAATGTGGGTTGATTATGTGGTCTGGGCTCTGTTGACACTTGCTGGCTGTTAGCCCTGTGTGTATGTATTCGTCGGCTACAGTCCAAAAGCCTACAGTACTGTCTTTCTCATACGGACCGCAAGCCATTCAAATACAGTCTACATGCTTACTACACAAGCAACCTCTTGATAAATCAACAACCGAAAAACATCATGTAGTCAGACAATATTTACATAACACTCACACACACTCTATCAGCGTTCGCAGCCGTCAGAGAACTTTCAATGCTAAGGGATACCAGGAGTATAAAGGAGATAAGTAAGAGATGATGGTGGGTGACAATAATTTCACAATTTCAATTGCGGCCTTCCAAGAAGCCCGAGATGAAGTTGGGAGGTAGACGAGCACCGGGGTCCTCCTCGGGGCGGAAGTACTTCATCACATGCGACAGCTGCTTCCAGTAGTTGAGGGTTTCCTATTGATATTGGTCAGTAACACATTATCCATACCATACGAGACTCAATTAATTGATGTAGATTGTATCAATGGCAGCAATTGAGCATCGCTAGGCTGCCCAATCCTCATAAACTCACCTGGAACTCAGCGTGGCTCTGGTACAACAGCACATCAACAACGTTCAGCTGGTTGACGTAGCGGTGCTTCTCGAATTCCTGGCGGATCTTCGTACGGATAGCGGAGACGGGGAGGTTCAGAGAGTACATAGTCTGAATCTCGGGGGACTATATTATCGCAATTGAATGGAGTCATGTTAGTCTGGATGTTTCTCGTAGAATAATGATTATCGAATTGGGGGTCTTGAGCCCGTCGCAGGGTCTGTTTGGTAGACGCGGAGGGTCGACGGACGACCACACCGGGAACGCCAGGCCATTGATGAACGGGAATAGGTGATGGAGCATAGGTATTATCGAGTATAAGGATCACTGACCGCTCTAAGCCATTCTCTGTAAGACTTGAGGACACGGTGCTTCGCATCGCCCCAGTTGGCAGCTACACAAGGCGAGAAAAGGTCAGCTCGGGATTCCGGCCATTGACGTCGCGGCAATTTCTAAAGGGTCGGACTTGGTCGGGACAACCGAGTCCTGGGAGGTAGGGGAAAACGTACAGGAGCGCGTGCGCTGAGCAAGGAAGGTCGGGTTGATGGTCATCTCGAATAGTGGCCTAGTGGTGAGGCTCGACAATGGCACACTTAGGATGAGAGGGGAGAGAAAGACGACGGTGGGGGGGAGGGAGAGCGAATGGGGAAAAGGAAGGGAAGTTCGACGGACCAACCTTAAGGTGACGATGCGAGGAGATCGAAGTGGTGGAGGTCCTGCACTTCCCGGGTTATGGCTCACCGCCTGCCTGTTTCAAAAAATTTCTCTTTCGGAGGCGTGATCTTGGAGGGTCCGGGGCTTCGTTCGTTCCAATTCTTTTCTTCGGCTTGGATTCGGTTTATTTACTTGATTTTGGGTATATCTGAGGTCCGTGATTTTTGTGCTATTTAGGCGACTGGATTTTTGTGGCTGGTTCTCCCGCTCCCCCACCATCGCAGGCGACAATCCAGATTTTCTTGTCTCCCTCTTTCGATACTCTCCATATCATCAATCCCGACACGCAGACTTGAACCGAAGCAATGGCGCCGACTAAGGGCCCCGCCGCTGGCAAGGCCTCGAACAAGAGCGACGGAAAGAAGAGCAAGCCCCTCTCGTCCGCATCGAAAGTGAGCAAGAAAGGCGCCAAGCGCCCGCCGCCCAAGGAAGTCAAGGCGAAGGCGCGCACGGAGTCTAGTCTGTTGAAGAAGACAAAGAAGAGAGAATATACCGAGGAGGAACTGGGACTGCCCAAGCTGAATGCGATCACCCCCGTTGGTGTGGTGAAGCCCAAGGGCAAGAAGAAGGGCAAGACTTTCGTTGACGATGCGGTACGTATTCCATCTCATTTCTAGGCCGTTGTATGATTGTCGCATTGACTAACGATGTTGTGATAGGAGGGAATGATGACCATCCTCGCCATGGTCAACGCCGAGAAGGAAGGACAGATCGAATCCAAGATGATGAAGGCTCGTCAGTTGGAGGAGATCCGTGAGGCTAAGAGAAAGGAGGCAGAGGCTAGACAGGCGCAGAAGAAGTCTAAGCTGGTGCGTATATTTGCCTATGATTTCCCAGTTGTCCTGTTGAAGGACTATTATGATTCAAGGGTTGCTAACTGGTTTGATCCGAACAGGAGGAAGCGAAGCAGTCCATTCGCCAAAAACGCAAGCACAAGGGTGGCTCCAGCGAGACAAAGGATGAAGCGCCCAGCAGGGAGTCGTCTTCAAAGTCAAAAGGAAAGAAGAAGAGTGTTGCATTTGCTTGAAATTCTATGTACAAAAGTAATTCTGTCTATACCGGGTCTATGTAGTTAGATGGGTCTCCGGCGTTATACTGGTCTATGTCTTCCGAAACAACGGCGTGCATGACACATGATGAGCATCTCTCCAATTGAAGCACTGATCCTATCAATGGGAGCAGTTCGGTTATGCAATATTTGTTGACTAGGGCCTGATTTGCAGGTCGAGCTTGCGTTGCGCAGGAATGAATTTCGGCTTTGGTGCCGTATCTGCGTCCTTTTCGGGACCCGTATGGTGGGCAAGATGACCGGGAATCTTCTCGGGATCCTCAACCTTGAACGGCACGGTAAGGTCGACCTCCTTCGCCATGAGGTTCAGGAAATTCGCCACCTGAAACAGTTAGATGTAGATAGACAACTGGCAGGTAGCATTCACATACCGGTTTCACAAACCACCTCCCACCTCCAAGCTCAAACCAGCCAAGATGTCCACCCCAAGAGGTAGTCATCATCACGCCGTACGGGGTTTGCGTCATCTCCTGGAATGGCAGTGCGGCAGCACAGGCAATCTGCTATCGGTTAGTATACGGAAGTTCACGTCTGAGAACCTGGACTCACCGGGTCGTCTTCGGCTTGTATAACAAAGAATGGAATACGAATACCCAGCATAGCATCGGTAGAAGAAGCATCGCGATAGTATGCTCCTTCAGTAGGGTAGCCCCACGAGGCACATTGCAAAGCCCTATTCGTGTCTAACGTTAGAACCATGCAGACGCAAATATGCTTGTAGTGATTCTTACCGGTCGAACTCATGCAAATAAGTGATATTCCTCACCTCGTCAACGTCGATTCGCGGGTTCTTGGAGACCTGCTCCACGTGTCTGACAGTCTCGAGTCAGATGCAGAAAAACCAATGATTAGATGGATTTCACCTACCGTTCAAACAGATCCTTCATGCTCGTACCCATTACTTTACTATAGACCTCGCGACCAATCAAGGTGCTTTGCAGATTTAGGGAGCCAATTTCGAGGTTCCAAGGGCTAGCACAGAGTACCGCGGCCTTCAACTCGCAGGCATCGCCCTCCTCACCCAAGTACTGCGATCACGTCAGTCAATCCTAGTTTACTTGTGCCTGACATAGACTTACATTAGCAAGAATGTTCGCGCCGAGCGAGAAACCAATTCCAAACAAGGGGCGATTCGGAAAAGTCTTCCGTAGCCATTTGACAGCCTGACGAATGTCCCAGGTAGCGCGAGCATTGTAAAGCACACCAGTCGTAATCTTGGTTTGCGAGCAGCCTCTGGAGTTGACGACACAAGCTTCCCAGGTCTGATCCTTGATAAGAGGTGCAATCACATGGCGCAGATAAAGTTCATGTGATCCGCCGCTTAGGCCATGGAGAACCACGAGCATAGGCTTGGTGTCGTCCGAGGGAAGCGCAGCAAATTCATCTTCCGAGAAGAATGACGTCCGTTCGGGTAGCCCTGACGGCTGAGTATATTTCCTCTCGCTATCAGTCGCATGAGCGTCGCTGGGCGGCTCATACGGATCTACCACGAAGTCTATCGCAAAGTGCCCAGACAACATCGGGTTCTCAGCCTCGAACATCCAGCGCTTGTAGTGTACCGGAACATTATCAAACTTCGCGGTCGTCCAGGCAGTCTGAAGATGACCATTGAAAAGGAAGGGGTTCAGCTGGCACGTCTTGGGAGTGGCAGTGCGACACAGGTCTGCCAGAGTCACTTGCGCCTGGGATCTGGACTTTCCCGCCTTTGTGGCCAGTAAGAGGTTATTATCTTTCGCATGATAGTATGTGATCCGGCCATTAGGGCGGATCCATGAGAGCAGGCCCATTCCCAGCAGGCCCGCCACAAGAAGCGGTATGGAGAATGTGCTTAGTAGGCCGAGGGGGGTGTCAACGAATGACATGGAGAACCGGATCTGGAAGAAGTGCAACGCCAAAAAAGAAGATTCTAAAAAGAACATGCACTAGATAGCACGCTATAATCACCTGCAGGTCTAAAAAGGGGAAACAGGAACCACAGGCGACACCGAGCACTTTGAAAGATGGACGGAAAAAGACCCATCGATCTTGATTAATGCCTCGGCTTCATTGCCTCATCCAGTAAGGCTCATCTGATGTGCTTATCGGGACAGGACCTTATCGTTATCGCGCCGATCAGTCAGCAGTACTGAATGACTCAGCGGGGAGGATCATGAGGCACCCTCCACAAGATGAACACCCTCCCAGATCTCGACGTCACTTGATGTTGCATCTCTTATCACCCCCATCTCGTCGTGCTGTCCCGGAAAACGGTGTCGCAACAGACTGCTGAAATTTTTAAAAGCATGAACATTCTTCAAGGGTGGGTTTGCGGGTCGCTGCAAGATCGATGCGGTAAACACAGGCCCGGATGCGGAAGCTCAGTGTAGGCCTTGATCCGATAGCATCATAGACTTCCTTAGCCTTTCCCCAGTCGGGCGAAACCCTTCCTACGGACTGATACGATAGCAGTCTAGATCCGTAGACTGTTTGGATACCGTCGCCAATAAGAAGCTTGATCAAACAATCGGCCTTTTGCTCTTTGGTCCAACGGAAAGACCCATTTTGTTGTATGTAATCCTGACGGCCTCTACTACGCTGTGACCCCGGCGCGTGCTCCGTTTGCGTGCGAATTTACAACCTTTGCAAAGGTTACTTTTTGAAGGTCAAAAGGCCCTCTCTCCCGTCTTTCTCTTGACAACTTATTTCTGTCATGTGGCTCGCTGTCCTTCATATTTTCTAGGACACCATGATGCCCCAAACCCAGCAGAAAACCGGCTGGTACTCTCTCATCTTCTGAGTCCTTGTTGTATTCTTGACTATAGATCCACAGCACATATACCTTAATTTCTTGTTACTTACACACAGACGAAGGAAAGTCTGCCACAACCGACGAAATGAGGTCCGATCTGCCGGTTGATATGGGATCTAGTTTCCGCCGTGCTGGGGAACGATTAAGGTCCATCGCAAAGATGAATCGCTGGGCGAAAACCCAGTATGAAGGAAAATCCGGCGATACAGACACCATTACCAACTGCTATCTCCTTGCGCTACCGACCGAGCTGCTCCTGGAAATCATTTCTCACCTGTCGGTGCTGCCCGAGGCATGTCTGGCGCTGACCTGTAAACGTCTCTACTCGATATGCGGTGCTACCCTGGGCGCCAAACCCCTCCATTTCAGTCGAGACTTTGCACCGCTTTTCCACCACTACCGAAATGGACACAATTTCGTCACACCACGTTGGCAATTTATAAATTTGCTAGAAGATAATCGGTGGCGGGCATGTTCTCGATGCTTGAAACTCCACCCACGGAGCTTCTTTCCCGCGCGAGAGCTGAAACGAAAGTCCGAGGATAGATCATGCAACCTAGGGAGTTCGGCAGGCATAGTAGACCTGTGTCCTTGCAAGAAGTTGACCTTCCAGGATAAAGTGGAGCTTGTCAAACTCTTGAGGGTACGGCGAAAAACGATCACAGATTTGGCGATCCAGTTTGGTTCCGGGATGAAGCAGCAGCGTTTCTGCTGGCATAGTTGCACCGAGGACTACGGATCGACCCAGCTAGATATTGAGATATATCCTGAGCTGGACGACGAAGACCAATTGAAGATCAAGACAGAATACCGCTTGCGCACGGGTTCCGGCCAGCTCGGCAAAGAGGAGCATATGACGCCGCGGTTTGGATGTGCTCACCGGTCCGTTGACTTATGGCTTTCGAGTGTCTGCCAAACGACTCTCTGTCGCCTTTATGACAACCAGTGCGCGTCCTGCAAGCGAATATCCGTATGTAATACATGCAATGCCTCACTCAGGTGTCCTCGCAAACAGCCATGTCGAGTGGACGATGAAACGGGACAAGCAACATACCATTTCTATACTGAACGGTGCTTGGGAGGATCGGGGCCTGTACCAGATCAGACATGGGCAGCGCAGCGAATCCATCCCGCGGAGAATCTGATCGACGTCGCAAACTGCAGTGAGCTATGCCCGTGGACGATCCGAGAACATCCACCTTTGGAAGAAGCCCCGTCTCTGGAGATGAATATCCTCAATCCCGCTATACAGGATCAGTCGATGAATCAGCTGTATACCTCGATCAGTATGATTTAGGGTTGGTTGCTGTAGTCACGAATCTCATAATGTGTGATGCGTTCTGGATGGACCTGGTTTCGGCGTTATGCAAGGACTCCTGGGGGTTGAATAGCTTGGGTAGTAAGGGTGTATAAGGGCTCGATTATTGATTCAGGGTGGTGTTAGTGTTGGGCTTGTTTGTTAGAGGGAAAGGGTTCGGGATATAATTAGTATAGTATAGTTAAGCTAGAGAGGGTGTCAACGGAAAGACCCATACAATCAATGCACATGATATAACGCTCTGTATGCATTTTCGAAAGAATGGATAGTCCAGATATTCCGCTAACACGGGTTGTTCCGTCTACTGAGTAAAGTACTTGGGAGTAATGTCATGGAGCAATCAAGCCATGGATGGTAGAACTCACCTGATCGCGCCTCACCTGACCGCCCGGGGGTTTCTCCGACCCGACGCGGAAACGGAAAAGGCGGCGCGATCCAGAAGAACAAGAAAGATAGAGAATCATTCCCAAAAATTAGAAGCATCTTCGTCGTCTCGCTATATATACTTCCCGGGAATAGCAGAGCGCAGTGGATTGATGAGCATTGTCTGCGTCCTGGGGCGATGAGCTACCCACCACCCCATAACGGCCCATATCCTTCGCAGTATATGCAGCAACCCCCCAATCTGCCGCATCACCAGCAGACCATCCACCCGCAGCAGCTACTGTACAACAACAATGTCAACACGAGCGCTTCGCCATATCAATATGGGAAGCCGGTGGTCTATCCCCAGGTCATGATCCCGGCGTATCCTGCTTACGCGCAGACTTATAACCCGCAGCCGCCGCAACAACAGCAACCTCCTCCTCCTCCACCTCAACAGCCTCCACCCCAGCAGCAGCCGCAACAGCAATATGTGAATCCGTCGGATCTGTTCAACCCACCACCGCTTGCTTCTACCTCGCCTCCCCAGTTCACCAATAGTCCGTCTCAATATGCCGCACAACCAGCGGTGTCTGTTGCAGGCAACAGCCGCTCCCCAGTCCTCCCTACTTCTACCCCCGCCCCATCCACGTACTATGCCGCCCCAGATCTAAACCAAGCGAATCAAACTCCCAACAATTACCCTCAACCTACATCTACGACGCCCTCAGTTCAAGTCCCGACCCCCGCTGCTGCTGCTGCCCCTGCGGCTGCGTCTCCTGCCCCTCCTCCTACTGCTAAACCTGTTGCTGCCAAACCCGTCCCTGTTAAGCCCGCCGCGGCCAAACCTGTCGCTCAAACTCCCCCAGCACCATCTCCTAAGCCTGTCCAGGTGTTAATTCCAGCTCCTACCCCAGAAGTGCAGCAGAAGATCCAGCGCCCTCCCCCTAAGAAGCAAGTGCAGCGACAAACTGGCCAAAAACCTACCCAAAAATCAGCAGGCGCGCCGATCGACTATCAAGTGCTGCTGTTGGCCATGGCTGATGAGTATCTGAATGCTGCTCACAGTCATGGCACGTTGGTAGCCTTGTTAAGACGGGAAATGGAGATGGACGAGTATTACAAATTAGTTGCTACAGGTCTTGGTTGCTTGGAAGCCGTTCTCAAGGTACGCTGGGACTCTTGATCCTTGACGCGAACGCAAGTTGCCGTGGTGCTGATTAATGTGGCGCAGAACTGGCGGCTTCAGCCCCGGGTTGAAGCTCTAGTCCGATTACGCTATGCCCGTATATTGTTCGAGGAAACAGACAACGACCTTGAAGCGGAGACAGCATTAAGCAAAGGTGTACGTTTAATTCCTGCTCTGCATCTTGCTGCTATTGCTAACTTTATTGTATAGATTGACCTTTGCGAAAGGGTGAGTTCTTTCATCTTCTCCATCTGTGGAGCCATTACGAGAATAACGTACTAATGAATGTAGAATCGGATGCTTGATTTGAAATATAGCATGCAGCATTTGTTGGCGCGAATGCTGTACAAGACAAATCCAAAGGCCTCGCTGAAAGCTGTTGATGGGATGATTCAAGATGTCGAAGCGTATGTACCGTTGGCGCCATTATATCAGTTTTTTTACTGAACTCATTAGGTATCGCCACTCCGCCTGGGAATACGCTTTTCGTTTTCTTCGAGTGTCTCTTTCACTTTCCTCATCGGCCCATCAAGATTCAGTGTCGGCACTGCAACACCTTCACAAGATTTCCACCATGGCCAGCCGCAATGGCGATAGGGCTGTCTCAGCCATGTCTGCGATAATTGAAGCTCTAGCGCACCTTCAGCAAGGATCCGGGTTTGACTCGGTCGAGCAAGCCCAGCGTGCAGTAGCAGTAGCGCGGAGTCACCAACTCAACGACGAGCTCCGACATATTCCACAGCTAACGACTCTAGTCCAAATTGTCGATATTTGCTGCAGTCTACTTGAATACGACATCAATCAATCATCGCAAAAGCTGAAGATGCTGCAAGATTTGATGGACGAACGCTTAAACGACTCGAATTGGCGCAGCGATGGATCATTCTCAATCCCATTGAATGGCAAGTCGGCCGGACCGTCTTCCATTGACACCGGGGACATCCTCCAGGTCCAGAGTGGCACGCTGCTGTTAAGCTTCAATTGGCTACCTCAGCACGATCTCTACGCGCTTTGCTACTTCCTCAGTTCGATCACACTGAGTTGCAAGAATTCGTATGATGGACGCAAGGCAGAGAAGTTCCTGCAGGAGGGCACTCGTATGTTAAAGGGTTAGTACACCTGATTTGGCGAAGGTCATCTCAATTCTTCTCAAATGTGTTATTGACGGTATTGTCACAGGAAGTTTCAAGGCGCCACAAGAGATCACAGAATCGGTGGTAAGTGCGAACAGACGCGTTCAGTGGCGCAGGATTCTCTACTGCAACCTGCTCGTTCAGCAGGTTTTCCTTGCTTGCGGTCGCACAGATTGGGAGCTAGCCAGCAAAACATTGAAGGAACTTCAAGAAGAAGGTCAGGAGCTTGGCGACCAGCTCCCAGATACCGTTGAGTGCCTAATGGAGTATGCTACTGGTGCTATTGCGCAAGCAACCGGCGACCTCACCGCAGCTCTGAACGCCTTTCAATCCCCTCTTCTCTCATTATCCACGAATTTCAGCAAGACGGCGCGCAATGAGCCACGCCGCGACATCGCCATTCTCGCCGCTCTCAACACCGTCCTCATCCTCCGCGATCCCACCCATCCCTCTCACTCCCACCTACCCGCCGTCTTATCTACTGTGGAATCCTTCTGCACTGGCAGTCCCAACAAGTACATCCAAGCAGCATACTACCTGGTCTGCGCCACCGTCCAGACCGAGTCCACGATCCAAACGAAGCAATACCTACAACAAGCCCTCCAATCCGCCACGGCAATCAGCAACAGCCAAATCACCTGCATGACCCTAACCTTCATGAGCTGGAAATACTTCCGTGGCGTCGTCGGCGAACAAGCCGAGAAAAGTGCCCGAGCGGGCCGCGCCATGGCTAAGAAAGCCAACGATCGGCTCTGGGTCAGCGTCACCGACGAAATGCTAGCCGAAACGCTAGAGCGTCAAGGAAAGAACGAGGAGGCCAAGGGTGTACGGGAAGAAGGTCATCGCGTAATGATGGGATTGCCGTCTGCTTTGAAGAGGCCTGTATGATGAATGCAGGCTTTACCTTGTGCCTTTTTTTTCTCTTCTTCCTTTCTACCACTTGTTGTTGGTAGTGGCGGTTGCTTGACTTGCTATTTAGCCCACCTCTTTTGTAATTTCTACCATACCTCTTTGCTACATTCCCATCCTCCTTTCCTTATTACCTCTGCCCCCCCTTCCATATCCTTTTTTTCTTTTCTTGCTTTCTATATCTCTGTAGTGTGGTGTTTAACGGCTGAAGTTCAGTTCATGATACCATGTTAGGGTTGTTCTATCCATGTGTCTTATCTGCTGCTCTATCTGTCTGGGGCTGTAGGGGGGTTTGGTTGTTGCTACTTATTTAGGGGTGTTTGGCGTCATGTGATGACATCGATAAAAGGGAGTGCGCGCGCGTGTGGGTTGTTCCATTTGTGTGGAAAATAAATAGTCTATACAATAAGATCCCGGTTTCAGGTGACAATTGGATATTCGGTTATTTGATCTATAAGATCAGACATCCAGGCACATTCATTGATGATGGCTTGACATACACAGGATGATCGATCCAGTTCTGTCTGACTGGCTATATATGAGAAGGATGGAATAGTTAGTACACCGTTCATGTTCGATTCGACGGACATAATAAAGTAGGTTGTTGTGTTGTTATACACGCACACGTGACAGAGCCGGTAGTCAAACGGCGTTGAGTCAACAGTTAATCAATCAAGAGGTAGGTAGGTAGGTGAGATCAAAAACGGTAGAAAGTTTGTAACAGCATCAAACAACGGCTTTCAAAAAACAACAAAGAAAGAAAAGACCCCGCGGTTCGCCTCAAGACCCCGTAACCTTTCCATACGCCTGCGACCCTATACAACACCAAGTGGCAGCAAAAATGAAAATATGATGAACGAGATTTCCCCACTGTTAGATTATAACAAAGTTGGAACGGAGAGAAGATAGAGAGAGAGAGAGAGAGAGAGAGAGAGAGATGAAATCAGACAGGTGGTGGGGAGAGTAGGTAGATGGTGAAAGTAGACAAGAAGGTGGGCTTTTGTTCATGAGCGTTGTGTCTGAATCTCGATCTTTTCTTTGGACTTCTTCTTCTCCTTTTTGAATGATAGAAGGGGTAATTATCGGTGTGACGTTTAGCCCAAACCACCCCAGACACCTCGGATGCGTCGAGCAAGTTGGATATCTTTCTGCATGATGGTCACGCGCTTGGCGTGAATCGCGCAGAGGTTGGTGTCCTCGAAGAGATGTACAAGGAAAGCTTCCGCTGCTTCCTGGAGCGCTTGGATCGCATGCGACTGCCACCGCAGCTCGGCGCCAACTTCTGAAGGGAGGAGGTCAAGCGCGACCTCGCGGACCAGCCGAGCGAAAGGAAGCTTTTGGATAAGCAGATCGTACGAGCGTTGGTACTTGCGGATCTCCTTGAGAGCCACGGTTCCGGGCTTGTAGCGGCGTACACGTCCTTGTGGTGTAGGGTCACCAGCTTTGAGAATGTCAATTTCTCATTCTTCAAGAGAGGGCGGAGCAGAGAGAGAGATCTGAATTGAAGGTTGTGGGAGGGGGTACGCACGCTGAACATCGGACTCTCTGGGTGCCTTTCCAGCAGGCCTTTTCCCTCCCCTAGTCGCTCCAGTGGATTTGCGCACTTTCTTGGCCGCCGGCGAGGCCGTTGTAGCTGCTGTGGAGGAGCTTGCGGCAGCACGGTCGCCAGCTGTTGATTGTCGCGGCGCCGCCGTAACGCTCTTGCGACCGCGACCGCGACCGCCTGTCTTGGGGGGCATGTTGACTTCCTTAGCGCTTGGCGAGCAATTGACCGGTTCGGTGTTCAAGACGAGAGGGGCGAAAGAGGGGTAGCTTTCTGGAGCTCCTTCACACCGGGCGAGTCAATTGACACTTGGAGTTCGGTGGTGTAGAGTGGTGCGCGAGATCGTCCTCCGGCGGCCTGAGGCTTTGTATAATGAACTCTAGGTGCGATTGAGTGCCACGCTTGAGAAATAAGCTGCAAGGCGATAACCGCGGAGGAGGGATTGTCAGGGATGAATTTGCATGCGAGAGGGACCCATCCGGGAGGCCGAACGGACTATGAAGTGATGGGATCCCCAGCCATCCGAATTCCTGTCCGAACGCGTGCGAGGCGCGTCTTGGAGGCGTCGAAGCGCGCGGGAGCGACACGTGACATATGCGCCGGGGGAAGTGACAGGTGACACCTGAGGCCAAAAGGCCAGCTGGAGCTCGGCGATTACGGCGGAAGTAAACTGGCAATTATTTAGTTGGTGATTCGACATCATCCCCTTATCGATCATACTTGCCCCGTCTTCTCGAGTTCTTAACCGCCAAAAGACAACTGTCTGCATCTTCGCTATTTCGCTTATCGCATCGTATCCGCCAACCGAATAGCCTCACCTCGCCGAGTCTAATCCCAACGTTTGCAACTCTATCTATCCATCTCGATCATGGCCGCCATCTGGGGTAACGGCGGGCAGGCTGGCCAGTTCCCGCTGGAGCAATGGTTCTATGAGATGCCCCCTGTAACTCGATGGTGGACAGCAGCCACCGTTGCCACTTCAGTCTTGGTTCAATGTCACGTCCTCACCCCATTTCAGCTATTTTATAGCTTCCGCGCAGTCTATGTCAAGTCTCAGGTGCGTCGCAGCTAGTATGAAGTAGACAAACCATGCGGCTAACCATCGCATAGTATTGGCGTCTATTAACGACCTTCCTATACTTCGGACCACTCAATCTCGACTTACTATTCCATGTGTTCTTCTTGCAGCGATACTCGCGCCTCTTGGAGGAATCATCGGGGCGATCGCCGGCCCACTTCTCGTGGCTTCTGTTCTACGCCATGGCCTCTCTTCTCGTCCTCTCGCCATTTCTCTCCCTTCCTTTCTTGGGCACGGCCCTCTCTTCCAGTCTGGTCTACATCTGGAGTCGTCGCAACCCGGAAACTCGCCTCAGCTTCCTGGGAATGCTGGTCTTTACCGCCCCATACCTCCCCTGGGTCCTGATGGCATTCAGCCTGGTCGTCCACGGCATCGTGCCCAAGGACGAAATCTGCGGCGTTGTCGTCGGCCACGTCTGGTACTTCTTCAATGACGTCTACCCTTCGCTTCACGGTGGCCACCGTCCTTTCGATCCCCCTATGTGGTGGGTGCGTCTGTTTGAGTCCGGGCCTGCAGAACGAGGCACCGACGCGGCCAACGTCAACGGGGACTTCGCGGCTGCTGCTGCACCCGAAGTTCGGTGAGCTATTTGTGCACCCGTTAGTTGTTGTTGCATGGCGATTTAAGATACGAATCGTCCGCGCAATCGCCCTGGAAACGTCAGCATATACGCATGTACTGCCGACAGCTCGCTCCGACACGCGCAGAGCATGAGAACATAATACTGTCGGGATATAAGCAAGGGCGACGGCGGCAAATCTGGCGAACTTTTTATCGTGTGGCTTGTCTTGTCTTGACCAGGGAGAGTCATTTGATCTACCCCCCACGCTGCCGTGGCTAGTTGCGCTCTGGCCTCCTACCAGAAATGTCGCAAAGGCCATCAGAATCCCGAGTATCAACATCCGGAGAGACAGAACAACAAACATATTCCGCCAACCAGTGAAGGAGTTGGAATCACTTGTGGGGAAGATGTGGAAGAAAGGAAGAAAGAAGTATCACGAAGGTCATAGCGGGCGCTCAGTCTGCGAGATTCAGTCATAGGCGTCTCCGTAAGAGAAACAGACCAACTATAATGGCGATCAATCAGCTAGTAGTTCAATGAATATACCCAAACCATGTTTTTAAAAGCCTGATAACAATTTACAGGAGGGGCAAGGGAGGTGGTTCGTGTGAACGCATGGACGCATGAGGCTGCCTCCTCCTATATGCAGTAGGAATACCGTAGTACCTAGTAGCATTCCAATTACCTGAAAGGGAGGGAGGGAGGGAGCGAGGGGGAAGAGCGGCCCACGTGTCGATCCAGGGTGTGCAAGCAAGCTCGAAGTTTGGGGTAAATTCTCCGCAATAATGTCTATCCTAATGTCGCTTTCTTTACTTTCTTAAATCGCTGCTGCCTCTTCCCACATTTTTAATCAATACCATACAGACTTGTCGATAGCTAGGATCTTGGACCCTGAACCATCCATCGGGTACTGTATCGTATGGTTTGATCCATTCGGTTGATCTGGACTTTCCTCTATCTATCTATTACCGCGTGTTATGTAGCACAGACGGTATAGCCACCATGGATCCAGGACTACGTACTACTCCGCTCTGGCGTTGATCAATAAGTGATGGAGATAAACGCTTTGGGTCGATCAAAGACAAGACTGTCTTAATTCTCTCATCATGAAGACTTGCTGTCTATCTATTGTTCTGTGCGGGATTAAAGCATGCTCTGACCTCATCCCACTTACAGATCATCGGGTGAAAGTGGGGGGTGATTGACATGAACAAATCAACCACGGGGCAGGGGTCCCTGAGAGTGCATATCCCCCTACACAGTAGGCTGGGGTTATATACTTGTTTGTTTATTGGATGAAAGGTCCGAAACGGTTCTGATTAGCAAGATAAGTAGGTAAGTAGCCCGGTAGGTAGGTAGGTAGGTAGGTAGGTCATTTACTAATTTTGGAGATGGTGGACGTTAGTAGATGAGGGCTGGGCGAGGTTAGGCCCCTCGTCTGCCTGCGTGTAAGCAGATTGGTGAGATGAAATGGGTGATTTCTTTTGATAGATCCATGATTTGTTCTTGGTCTTTGTGAAACGTTAGTACTATTACTTAGGTATTCTAGTCCTAAACCGAATCAGTCAACATTCTGATTGGGGTTATGAGAGAGAAGAGGAAGATAGGAAGCCGAGATACGAGTACGCGGAAACCCAAACAGGGGACAAACAGGGAACCACCTCGGAGCTCGTTTCTGGTCGGTTGAAACACACCACAAGAAACAGATAAAAGTAGCACATAACTAACTCCTGCTGCCATCGACAAACCAGGATCTGGCACAGAGGAACATGCGACTCGACAACCGCGGGTCGTTG